GGCAACTTTCAGCGTCATTAAGCCGCTGCGCCACCGCATCCCCCAAAAAACTTGTTCTAGTTTCATCTCAATAAAACCAGTTCCTTACATTTTGCCAAGAAGAATTTTGAAAGAATAATTGTAGAAAAAGCACTGTATTGTTATATTTTTAAAAAAGATACAAAAGACCACACCATCTGTGGAATATTCATTTTTGGATCTTCAGTGAGTTAGTATGCATATATGTTTTAGGGAGACACCATCTTTGACCTTCAGAACTCTGAAAATCTTCCAAAGTTATTGATGGTTTTATTATGTTCAGCCTAAGGTCTAGTTTTATTACGTTTCCTAACTTTAGTTACTGTTGTTATATTTTTCTTCAACTAAAGAAAAAATATTTTTCTAAAGCTATAAAAACGTTGAGGTCATTTCTTTCAGTTTTGTAGTATGGGACTAACTTTTTTCTAAATAGAATCAATATAATTACTTATATGTAAGATTAAACTACATGCATATTTTTACAACACTTAAGTACATTTATGATTTCTGTGCATAAAAAAATGCAGCAGGTTGTCAGTATTCAGGTTCAGTAATTCATCTATTATCTGTCTCTTAGTTTCCTTTGAGCTTGCTTAAATTTGCACATTTGAAAAATTAATCACCTTCTGCACATAGAACATGCTTATCTTCTTGAGGAAAAGTTTTTTTTTCCTAATCAACATTATGCATGTTGCATTTTTATTAAATTGCATAGTAGGAAAATCCTGATTATTCTTTAACATTTTAGAAACTCATAGTCACATTCTATGAGATTAATTTCTTGATGAATATGAATGATCATTGCTTATTCATTATATGGAATTCTCCAATTGTCATTACTTTGACTTTTTCAACCTTAATTATGTTTTAGAGTGGAGAATCTGCTTGTATCACTTTTAGACAACCACTTGTGTCTCTTTCCATCCTTTTGAATTATCTGTAGAACTTTTTGATACTTGAAGAGTATCATTTGTACGCTTTGAAGATATTATCTTGTCATATAAACTATATGTATTTCAATGTTTTTGAGATAGTATAAAACAGCATGTCAAATAAAATATTGTACTTCTTTACTTCAACATTTAGTCATTCTTGTAATAACGTAATCTTTTTAAAATTCAGACTAGAAGCATAAAAGTGGTAATAATACTAACTTCAAGATAGTTGAAGAAAGAACCTAAATAAATATTAAATACCCAGCCTTAATAATGATATTGCCATATTCACTCATGAATATTAACATTAAATGACTACTATACATGTTATAATATTAATATATTTTCATTTTTGAATTTGATTGATTTTGATTCATCAAGTGGTATCAACCGCATAGATGGACCTTCTCCAGTAATAATCTGCTACTGCTATAATAGAATACATCCACCTTGCTCCTTCCATCTCTTTCTTCTGTTTTCTTCCACCTTTCACAACATTACTGCCTTCTTAAGAGAGCTAGATCTTTGCATAATGTGTCCAAAATATTATAATTAGAGCCTGATCATTTATACCTCAAATGAGAACTCTGGGTTGATTTATTTGATGATCCATTTGTTTGTTTTCTTGGCTGTCCAAGGTATTCTCAGGAGCCTTCTCCAACATCAGAGTTGAAAAGCATCAATACTCTTTCCATCCTGCTTCACTCTGTTTTGAAACCTGAAAGAGGCCACATTATGTCAGACCTGTTTACTCACATGTATAGTTTGTTAGCCACAGATAAGAGGCATATTCTAAATCCCTACAATTTGCCTACTATATTGAAACATTCAGATTCCATATCGTATTGTCTGGGCCCTTGTATTATTGTCACTTATATTTCATGTATAGTTTTATTGTTCGCTAATAATCTGATAAGTATTTATTGTAAATGAGAACTATGAATCAGCTTTCAGAGGACAAGGGTCCCGCAAACATATATTTTGTGCTAACCTAAACATTTTTAATTGTTTTTTTAGCGAGTATTATTTTAGTGTAGAAAACTTGGAAAGAGACTTCTTCTTGAGGAGAAAGATGGACCAGCAAGGATTCTTGCCTATATCTTTGATTGCAAGCTTCCATCGTGTGCAGGCTCTCACTACAAATGTAAATTTAATATTAGAGGTAAATCAGATTTTTGTTTCTTCTAAATAGTAATAAATGTATGCTATATTTATAACTTTAAAAATCACCTTGAATTTGTAGTATTGCACATATGTACCTTAACAAAACATATTTTTTTTAATTTAGGAGCTATTCTTTAGAATTGCAATTTGCATTTAAAATATATAGATTTAATTAATGAATAAAACTATTATTTTCTGATAATAGTGCTTCACGCTCTATTTTTTATAAAATCCTGCTTAAGTAAAGAAATGTCAAGCCTAATTAGTCCAATATCCAAGTTAAAAGAAAAAAAAATGAAATACTCTTAAAATGTGTCATTGATTGTTTACCACATTAGTTCTTAATTTTCATTGTGCAGGTAGTCCTTGCTTACCGACCACTCGTTCAGCAACCAGCGGTCACATGATTGCGATTTGGGTGCTTGGCAACCAGCTTGTACTTACAATTGTTGCAGTATCCCGCAGTCATGTGATTGCCCTTTGCGACCTTCCCTACCAGCTTCCCACAAGCAAAGTCAATGGGGAAGCCAGCAGGGAAGGATGCAAGTCTCTCTGGTAAGTTTCCCCCACCTTCCTGTGCACCCTCCTTTCCTGTGCTCACACACTCACACCCAAGCCCTCCTTCCCTGGGCCTCCCTGCATTCACATGCACTTCCCTGCACTCACACATACACACACACACACACACTATGCTTCCTTCTTCCCTCCCTCCCTGTGCTCGCATGCATGCACCACACATTCTCCTTCCCTCGGCCTCCGTGTGCTCATATGCCCTCCTTCCTTTGGCCCCCCTGTGCTCTTACACACTCACTTGTTCCCTTCTTCCCTGGACTTCCCTGTGCTCACTCACACACATACCCTGCACCCTCCTTCCGTCAGCCTCCCTGCGTTTGCATGCACACACCCACACCCTCCTCCCCTGGGCCTCCCTGCATTTGCATGCATGAGCCTGCAGCACCCCCTCCCCAACTTGCATGCAGCCTGCGTTGGGCTTCCCAGGGTCTCCCCCGCACCCCTGTGGCACCCCCATGCTTCTTGCCTGGAATTCCCGCCACTTCCCACTTAACGACCCACATGTCTTGGGTTTATGATGGCAACCGGGACTTCCTGGATTGCCACTGCTAAACTATATGGTCATGTGACATCACGCTTTACAATTGCATCATTTAGTGATGGCAATCCTGGTCCCACTTGTCATCATAACTCAAAAACTACCTGTAGAAACCAGGAGTGAGACAAGTACATATTTTATTTAGAAGGGAATTTGCCAAAGCATATATCAAGTATTAGTTAGAGTTCAGGGAAAGGTCAGCTATTTCCAAATGAAAATTTGTTTAACAGATTTCTGCAAAATTCGGAAAATCAGGACATCCTGAGAAGTTAAACAAACCATCATGAAAAAGTCATTCTTGACTTCAAAGAATATTTGTCAAAACAGAAGTTCAGTAACTTGTGTTTAACCTATTCTCTGTGTATAAAAGGTAAGGTCCTAGTGTTAAGCAACATTGTATTTTATTTCCATACAGGTTAACTAATATGTTTATTTGTATTGCATAGGCCTTAAAGGACAGTACTGAAATAGAAATAGTAGATCAGAAGATGAGGAAAAGGATAGAACCAGAAAAATGGCCGATTCCAGGGCCCTCTCCACGTAGTCTTCCACAGACAGACTTTTCTCAGCTTATTAACTGCCCAGAGTTCATACCAGGCCAAATTTTTGGTTCACATACAGGTAAGATATTTTTACTTTCTGTCAAATTGTGATTTAAGGTTCTGCATATATGCAGACACAAAGATATCCCATTTTTTATGCAAATGGCCAGCCATAATTTATTGTTGTCCATTACTGCTTGAATTTTGAATTTACTTCCATTTTTTTTCTTCACTTCTGTTCTTGAAGAAATGGGAAGTGGAATATATATCTAAACTTGTGAGTTATAATCTCTTGCCTTTTATCTCTATATAAAAGAGGCAATGTCCGAAGACTTAAAACTTCAAGCTTTCTGAGAACTTTCTCTCTCCTTTTTTAATGCTATTGTCCTTGGCTTCAAGAGAAAAATAAACATACTTTCAACTGTACTCAATTGTACATTGTTTCCACAGAGTTCTGGTTGATGAACCTTGAGGCCTCTTTAAGTATTGTGATATACAATATGCAGTTATTATATGAGCTTTTGTGTAGAATTAGGGTAGCAGAAAGGGAAGAAAGCACTGGACTTCTTCTTTGCAAATAACCAGTCGGACTAATATCCCCAGCTAGAGTAATTCTTCTTCCCACATTTTAGTTTCTGAGCAGAACCTGGAACTAAATTATTTATTTATATGCCACCCACTTCTGAAGGTTCTAAGTGGTTAACAATCAGAAACACCACAAAAACGAACCCTTCCTACAAAAAATAAACCCACCCAAAAAGAATAGCAAAAAATCCCAACAATATCATAATGGATGAAGTAAAACAAAAGAAGAAAGGATCAGGAGCAGAGAGATGTTGTTTCCATGCTGCATCCTTTGATTCTAATGTATAAAACTTAATCCTCCCAGTACTCTTCTTGTGAGATAGATGTTTGGTTTTCAGCAACAGCTCAAGGAGGAAAGCTAAATCAAACTGAGTAGTGGGGTCTCAATGAAACAGTAATCTCATCTTGTGATTTTAACGAAGGCATCTCAGTGCTAAGCAGCCATCAGTCTCCTTGTCATTGTAAAGCCATTAAGAAAATGTCATTGTCAAAAAAATCTTGAAAATGTGCTTCATATTCTTAGCTGTTTTCCAGATGATATTACATAGTATCTGTTTTGCATTGAGTTGAGTCATGGGAAGACTGTTCAGGCAGGACGCTGATGGCAGCTTAGGCAAACAGATTGAGAGAGGAGTTTGAGGGATGAATTAAAAATGGGTTGCCTTTCAGAACTTCCCACTTCTATTCCCAAACATAATTCCCCCAAAGCCCCCTCAAGCTAGGCAGAAAAAAAATTACCTCAAGTCCCTGTTTCTGCCTGACAAAAATTTTCCCATCCCTGTTTCTCTAAGATAAATACCTCAACTTAAATTCAACTCCTGGTGACTATAAGGGTGCATCCATTAGTTAGCTTGACAGCAATAAGGAAATGGTTTGCCACTGCAATATCTGAGGACATTTTCCAACTTTCCAGTTTAGTCTGTAGTCCTGAAATTCCCAGGTGGTCTCTCAGCCACATACTACTCGGCCCTGACCCTGTTTAGCATCCCAGCCCAGATAAGATCATTGAGTTACTGCCTCCTAATGAGCCTTACTTTGTGTATTGTTTGGGAAAATAATGATTTATATCACATCTTTCTAATCTGATGTTAAAAATCTAAAATCTAGACTAAAAATAACACAAATTTAGATTTAAATCATGTAACAAAGAAAAGCTGGGTAAAAGAAGGGGCTTTATACATATTTCAATGGAAGAATGAGGGCCACATACTATTCTTGAAGGAATGTGTTCCCTAGCCTGAGAATAGTACAAGAGAAGACGTAACTGATGCCCTAGAAAAATGGATGATTGAGAGACAGTATATTTTCAAATGAGCCTGTCCTGCAGATCTTAGTAGCAGCATACTGTACTTCAAAATGTTTTGTCTAAGTCAGGAATAAACAGTTGTAATTGTTTCAAGAGCTGTACCAGTCTTTGTGCAACATGTTGAAGGATACACACAAAATGTGGGTATTGCTAGGATCAAAAGTGGGCCTGATTTTCATAGAATGCAAGGGTTTAAGAAGTGAAATAGGTTAATTATGCCTACAGTCCTCTCCATACTACCACCCACCCACCGCTAATGAGTGCAGATATTTGGCCCTGTCCAAATAGTTCCAGGATGGGATATGAATAGGTTACACTGTTTGCACTGCTGGCCCAGTCACTTATATGGAAGGAATACTATCTTGGACAGGATTTTTTAAATGTGACATTTTTTTTATCAAAAATATAATTTGTATTATTTTATGGAAGCACAAAGATCAAGATTACTGTGTGTCTTTTGTAGATAGTTGAAACAGATATTGTATACTATATATTGGTTTATTTGGCTAGTGGTTTTATACTTCCACAACACACTATTTGATACATGCTCAGGACTAGAATATAATCTACATCACTGTATAATGTTCAGTATGTCAGTTTAGATCGTATCTGTTCTTGTGAGATACAAAGCAGGAGAAGACTTCAGTATTCATTTGGTTTTACCCTTGGTGCCATTATTTGATGTATAAAGCAATTAAAACTGAATTTATACAATCATCACATATCTCTTAAACTTTAAAGAGATTTTGCACCAGGTGAAGAAATAATTTATAGAAAGAAAGAAAAAATGTAAATTTCACAAAAAAAATAGGTTGACTGATAATAAAAATGGGCTGATCTTTCCAAGCACAGAAAAATATTTCTCCATTTTAGAATCTGCACCAAATTCTCCAAGAATAGGGAGTCTAAATACTAAGAAAAGCATTGAAACAAGCAGTCTTGAAGTAATGTCCAAAGGATTATCTACAAGCCTCCCAGATTTGGACTCTGAACCTTGGATAGAAGTTAAAAAAAGACATCGTCCCTCCTTAGCTAAGCCAAAGGTAAGGCTTAAAGTATTAGTTTTAATGATTGTGTCTGTGTGTCTGTGTGTGTAATGGAAGGCATGTGCAAGAAGGATACTGGAATGGAAGATCAAGGCTATCAGGAGGGAGGGAGTACATTCCAGGAGAGGGTACAGGGCAAGCGCTTTCTCAGCCCGCAGCAGGACCGTGAGAAGAAGAAGCTGAGGCTAGCCCTTCCCTAGAGGCTCATGGGGTATATCCACTAGTTGCTTTGGCATAGGTTTAGTCTGGCGAGATTCTGTCTTTAGGGCGTAAGCTAATAAAGGAACTATACTGTACTGGACTGCCTCATCATTGTTCTTGGGCTGGGCCTGACTGTGTGTGTGTGTGTGTGTGTGTTAAAAAAAAAATCTCCTGGGAATTTAGGAAAAGTCTAGGGGAAATTAGGGACATTTAAACATGGCTTCCAAATAAGGTTTCCATGCATTGATATTTCTGATTAATTTTGTCAACTTTGTCTAAACATCTAACTATGGTTGACTCATTGAAAAAAACATAGAGATACTGTGCTTGTGGATTTAATAACTACAGTGGAATCTCGGGTTACGAACGCCTCTGTTAACGAACTTTTCGGGTTACGACCAGCTCCGGCCGCAAAAATTTACCTCGATTTGCGAACTCCGCCTTGGGATATGAGCAGGATACGAGCAGGATCCTGTGACATGGTCCGCGGCCATTTTTCCACCCCTGACACGTGGTCCGCGGCCATTTTTCCGCCCCTGACACATGGTCCGCGGCCATTTTTCCACCCCTGACACGTGGTCCGCGGCCATTTTTCCGCCCCTGACACGTGGTATGCGGCCATTTTCTGCCCCGACACGTGGTCCACGGCCATTTTTCCGCCCCTGACACATGGTCCGCGGCCATTTTCCGCCCCTGACACGTGGTCCGCGGCCATTTTTCCGCCCCTGACACATGGTCCGCGGCCATTTTTCCACCCCTGACACGTGGTCTGCGGCCATTTTTCCGACCGTGGCAG